GGCACTCCTCGTCTCGCACGCCTGGGGCCAGCCTTGGAACTGGGAGGGGCGAGCCCCGCCGCCGTGCGATGCAAGCTGCCTCCCTGCTCCACCTTCTGCTCCACCTTGTCCTCCCTGCTGCTCCTCCTCCTCCTCCTCCTCCTCATCCTCCCCCTCCTCTTCCTCCTCCTCTTCTTCCTCCTCCTCCTCCTCCTATTCGAACGGTACGTTACCATTGCAGCATTGCAGTGAATAAGGGCAGCGCACATGCGTGTCCTTTGGCATTTGGCTCAAGGGATCCCTCGGTGCGCCCGTTTCACACTAATTTCGGACACCTGGCTTTCAATCCACTATGCAGAACCGTGTTTTTTGTTTTTTGTGTTTTTTTGGTTTGTCTTCTCATCCACCGCTTCGCATTCTAGTTGGTAGCGGAGCACGATGTTCTGTGATCCACAACCGCCGTGGCCCGCGCGGCAATGCCTCGCGCCCACAGCGTCCGCTCTAACTACATCGGCGCCCACGTCGACCTGCTCTACATCCGCTTCGCGTACTTCAGGGTCGGCGCCGCGCCTTCAGGGGTAGGCAGGACGCCTTTCGCCCAGCCGCCAGAATCAGCGGAACAGGAGCTGCACGAATACCAGTTCAAGGGCTACCCCCTCAAGGACGGCGCCCCCCGCGACTCGGTGTCACTTTTGGGCATTTTCGAACTGTGTTCGAGATGCTCGGGGCCATTCGTCGTCACAGCACTCGCCTGTGAGCGCCGCCGTCGAGCGATCCGACTTCACGTGCACGCTGTCGGCACGCGGCCCCGAACGGTTCGCCAGTGTGTTGCGGATGCCGGATTGGGGAGAGGACAAGGACGCGCCGCCCTCATTGCATCTGTATGTGGGTGTAGCCGACCATGACAAGCAGTCTCTCGATCCGACGCTCACATCGCTTGCGTCGGCCAGGCTTTCCGAACTCTCTGCAACAACGCTGTGGAAGACAGGGGAGGCGCGTGCAGACAAGAGCGGGCCTACAAAGGATGGTCGAGCAACTATGTTGCCATTCTTCCGGGGGGCCGTTGCACAAACGTGGTGCTGCTCGTTTTCGGTGTTCTGGGGCAAGACCATCAATGTCACCTGCGCGCTTCCTGCCTCCTGGCAGACCTGGATCTAGATGCGGACTCCTTTTGACTATTGTGCAGCTGGCCCTGCTCAGTGCAGTGGCAATGTGACGCGGGACGACTTCTCTCGCCGCGAAGTGGCGCGTGCTCTGAGTGCAGTCCTCGCGCCAATCGCTCGACATAAGAAAATGCCCAAGGCTCTAATAAGGAGGTGCGCGCTGGGGACAGATGCCCGCGGCTTCGAGGAGCACTGCCAGAACGCCGCCGTTGGTGGGTGCCGGGGTGGTCGCGCCTTTCGACGCCTGGAGGGGCTCCGTTCTGGATGGAAGGCAGTCGGAGTGGGCATGATTGCTGCCGTCACGTGCGTCGCCTGCGCGGGCGCGGGCGGCCGTGCCTGGGGGCCCGAGGGGCGAGCTCGCGCGCCCTTCCGTCGCTGGCCGCGGGTGGTGATGATCTGGCCAGTGGCGAACTTAGACCTCAACGAGTTTCGCCGAGCGGCCTACGTCTCGTCTCTCTTGACCAGCATGGCTCGCGAGCAAGTGGGCGAGTGGCCGCCCGCTGTCCTCGTCTGAGGTGGTCGTATTAACGGGTGCCCGGTGCCGCCCATGACCTGCCATGTGGCTTTATGCGCAGCTTGGCCGAAAGGCGGGGCCAGCTTGGGGGGGGGGCGCGCGCGCCGGTGGTGTCGGCCCTGAGTGACTTGGGCCGATTGCCGCAGGGGCGCGTCGACAACCTCTTCGCCGTGTTCGACGTCTTCCGCAGCAGAGCAGCGCAGGCCAGTCAGCTCATGATCGGTTACGAGGGCAGCAGCTGCTCCTTGTTGCGCGCCGTGGGTGCGCCGAAGGTCCAGAGCGACGTGGCCCTTCGGCGCAGCGGCGTGGCCTGCCTGACGGACGCGCCGCAGCTGGCTTGTATGAGGGGCCCGCTGCGCAGATTTGGAGATGTGATCGCAGGCTCGCTGGGCAGACTCGCCTCGGCCGCGCGTTCGCCCCTGCGCCGAGGGTTCCCATCGGGCGCGCCCAGTCGCGACCAGCCCTCGGGGCGGCGCCGCTCCGCCGGCAGCGAGCTGCCGCCGACGGCGACGCGTCAGCATCGCCGCGGGCGGCGTGTCCAGCGGCGGGTTTCGACTCTGGCGCCAGCTCGGATACTGTCGGCTCGTTGGGCGACGAAGCCGCTGCCGACCACCCCGAACTGCGCGAAGTTCCCGCGGGGCAGCGCGGCGCGCGCCTCTATTGTGCCTGCGAGCGCGCCATGTCGCGATGGCGCCGCTTCGACAGAGACGAGCCCGCGCGCCGCGTGCGGGGCGTAAGTGCAAAGGCCGCGGAAAGGGCCGCCGCGCCGTCCTGGCCGACATGTTCGACGACGACGTTCGCGAAACCTTCGCCAGCTTCGGGGGTGGCGGGGGGCAGGGGAAGGAGGAGCGTCGGGCCAGCGATTGGGACTCGGCCGACGAGGCTACTTTCTGGGCCCAGACGGGGCTCGCCTTAAGTGGCGCGAATGCGACTCAGAGGGGCGCGTCGCGCGCGATTGCCCCCTTCTGCGCTGGCATGTGCACGCCCTTATCCTCGGCGCCCCGGCCTCGGCAGCGCCGCCGCCGCCGACGCTGGCGCCCTCGCCGCTTGCGCGCGCGGGGCACCGCGGAGCGCCTGGGGCAGCCGCTCAACAGTCAGCAACCGGTGCTTATTCGGTTCGGGCGGCCAGGGGAGCCCGTGCGATGTCCGAACCATTGGTTCTGGGGTCCGACGGCGGTGGCCCCGGGCAGAGAGCCGATCTTTGGAAGGGCGGCCAGCCGACTCCAGCTCCAGCAGCCGCGCGGCCCGCGCGGGCGCCGGTATCAACGGCAGCAGGTCCAAGTGCTGCGTCCGACGGCTCCTGGCGGGCAGTTGGCCAGAACTGGGTGGGTAGTTCGTCGTCCTCGTCGGCTTCGCCCAACCTTTGCGAGGCCGAACTTCGGCGGCTGCGCCGGGAGATGGGCGACCTCGCGCGTGCGCCGAGATTCTGCTCGACCGACGGATAGGGCGATTGCCTTGCGGGTCCGCGCGGCATGAGCGGGGCGCGCGGCGCCCGCGGCGCCCGCGGCCCTGGCGCCGTCAGCAGCGCCGCCAGCCCTGACACCGCAGCGCTAGGCTGGAATGGCCGTTGCTTTCCCGCTAGGCCCGCGGCGAGGGCGCGACTGGGTAGGCGACGTCAATGCCCGCGTCGCGGTGCCAGCTGCCCCGCTTGCCGATGTGTTGTTGCCGAGCTGGGTCTACATGCCGTCGATCTCAGCTCTCGATAGCAGCGCGCCGCGTGGGTTGGGCTCCATGGGGCCGCCGCAGTCCGCGCCGCTAGCTGTATCGCCGCCGATGCTGGAGTCTCCCAGCGATCTTGCTTTTTTCAATTAGCACGTCCCCATAGGCGTGATCCAGCCGCCTGGGAGTGGCCATGTGGTTCGCCGGTCGCGACGCCGGACAGTCCGGCGGCTCGCGATCCGAACGCGGAGGTCGGCCCCGCGCTCGACCGCGCGCGGCGACGACGCCTCTGCGAGCTCCGCAACGCCCAGCGCGCGCTCGAGCTCGTGCTGCAGCAAGACGAGCGGCGACGACGAGCCGCACAGTGTTGGACATAATCCTTCACTAATCCATCTCCTGCGCCGTCTGCCGCACCAGCTGCCCGTGCCCCCCTGTTGCGGTCTTCATCGCCTTCGATTGCAAATGTCCTTTCTGTATCGAGGCCCTCGTACATGGCGATCGAGTGGTGCGCCTGCGGTGCCGCCGCATTCTGCGCCGGGCATGCCGCCTGCAGTTTTCGCAGAACGCCGACGCCCATCTTGTGTGCTGCCCAGCGTTTCGAGGCCTTGCCGACGTCATCGCCGAATTCCGCTTCAATGTTGCAGAACGCAAGGCAACGGTTTCGGCAATTGTCTTGGCGGCCCGTGCGGCGGACTTTGCTACTCCGGGTCGATCCTTTGGTGCCGGCTCAGTTGATGCCAGAGTTGATGCCAGACGACAGCGTGCCCGAGGAGACGCTGTCGCAGCAGGGCGCCATGCAGACTCCCGAGCCAGCGCCGACACCCGGGACACCACGGCGGGATCTAATGCGGCCCCCCCGCAGTGCTTCCGGTTTTGCGCCCTCTGCCGACCGGGCAGTGCGGTTCGACGCCCTCTAGGACCTGCATGATCCGCCGTGCCGGCCGACGTTCCCGTGGTGGCCAACTTTGTCAGGTGCAGGGCCCAGTCCACCGACCGACTCACCATGCTATCTGGCGAGCGCCGACCTCCCAGGCGGCCGGCGTGGCGTCGCAGTGGATGCCGGCGGCTGGATCAAACTCGGGGGGCAAGGCTGCGCGATGAATCTAGGCGGCGCAGCCGTGAAGGCGAGGCCTCAGCCCGCGGAGGAGATGCTGACGTCCCCTCTCTATGATGCAGGAGTGGCAGTGGCGCGCGGGTTGCACAGTGGGAGGTACGCTGGTTGCCACCGGCGATAGCGTGGCCGCCCAACGCAGCATGCGCGCTCCTGCAGTGGGGGGCGACGGCTTCGATCTCCCTGCCTTTCTCGGTTAGCAATCCATGCAGTTCAACATCGGGTTGCGAATGGCCGCCAGGACAACGACACCGACGACGCGCACCAGGATTCAGCCCCAACGCAAATGCGCCAGCGCGCGGCGCACTCAGGCTGCAAGCGCTAGATTTTCACTTGCGCGGAAGGCAGTATCGTGTCCTGTTGTCGCGAGCTGGTGTCTACGGGCTTGGCCGCTCTTGTGTCGCCAGCCACCTGCGGCGGATCGCCCCGCGCTAAGGACTAGCCCTGAAGGGCATCGACGTCGTGGGTGGAGTTGTAGACCCCGACTTCCTCGGCGAGATCAAGGTGATCATGCGCGGCGCTAGCCCGCGGACGTGCGTGGTCGAGCAGGGCCAGAGGATCGGCCAGCTCATCCTGGAACGTACCAGCGCAGACTCTGACCGTGGTCGTTACTAACCTACCT